TTCAATTCCCAGCACCCTCAGCCAATTCAACTTCAGTACAAATTGCTGGAAATAGCAGTTTAGCAACATCTGGAAGATCCTCTCAGTTCCCTCTTCCTGCTAGGATTGACCAGGTGAGTCTGTGGACAGCAACATTTTTTTCTAATCAAAAAAGATTGTACTGAACAAAGGGAAGCAAATAGTATGGAGCTAAGAATGAAAAGTTTAAAGCAGGTGGCCAGGGAGAGATGATTTGAAGCTCAGTCTAACTAGAGATCTGAGCCGATTGCAGAAGGCTTTAAAAATTAGGTTAGCTCATGTGGAGCTTGAACTACAGGCTTTTTTTGTCCCCAACATTAGTAGTAATATCTTACTTTTTGTTACTGAGAAATGGACAATCTGAAAAATCTGTTTTGTCACCTCTCCAAAGTGCAAATAGCAAACTATTAAAAAAAAAATCCTGAAACCAGGAAGGAAATTTGAAAGTCTGTTTTTTCCCCTTGAGTTAGCCTATCATTTTGTTTTATTTATTATCTATATCCTACATTTATTTTTTTATAAACAACTCAAGGTGGCAAACATATCTAATACTCCTTTCTCATATTTTCCCTACGACAACTACCCTGTGAGATGGGTTGAGAGAGTGACTGGCCCAAGTTCATCCAGCTACTGTAGCTTTCTTGGCCAAGGTGGGACTAGAACTCAGTCTCCTGGTTTCTAGCTTGGTGCCTTAACCACTAGCCCAAATTGTCTCTTTTAGCAAATCTTCTAAGCTGCTTTGCTGAATCTTTACACACTGCAGTAATATGGTGAATGTCTACTGGAAAGAGGACCTTTTGGGAATCTCTCTCCACAGGGCGATTGACACTATTTCATTGACTATGTTCTCTCTCATTAGCCCAAATCTCTAACAATTATAATCATGACTGGATGGAATGTGGCTTCTATGCCACACTCTGACATCTGACCTGATGCTCACTCAGAAATATTGTGGAGAGAAATGGAGGAAGCTTGCAGCAAAAACAAAATTGCAAGAAAGAGAGAAGGGATTATATGGTGTGTATTTGAAAATGCTAGAAGCCTTCTTAGAAAATAAAAACAATGAATGATGGCTGCTCAGAAGAATACTTACCTAAACAGATAATAGGCAAAGGTAAGTTTGATGAGGTGGTTCTAGAACTCTGAAAGGGAACAACTTTTTCAGTTGTCTTTTGATAAATGGTGATTGTGCGATCAATAATACTATGACTGCTGGCTTCTTAACATGTAAAACTCCTATGAGCAAGGAAGAACCATCTCAAATATTACCTTTCCTACCTGAACAAGCTTTTTATAATTTGGAGGGCTGTTTATATATGTGGACTGTGTATGCTAATTTATATGATTAATTTCCCCCTTTTTCAATTGTGAATTAACTTAAATGTCTGTAGTTCATGACTAGAATGCACTTTGCAAGAATAATTTTGTTAAGTAGGACAAAGATGAATGCTTTTGTGGAGGTCTCCTACCTCTTTCTTTTTCTCATCCATACTGTAAAAATAAAAAGTGTCTTAAGTCATCTGGTGGGAACTTCCTAAATGTGCTCTAAGGATGCTGAATGAATCCATCTGTCTCCAAAGTGCTAAACCTCAGTAGCCACCCTTTTTTCCCCCATCTTAAAAATGAAGAGAATGTGCTAATGAGTTTAGATGGAGCATGGGAGGTGCAGGAAAGAAGTCAGTGACAGAAATTCTCAAATTTAAAGCTTTCACCTGCACACCAATTCTTATAAAGCAAATACATTTTGTAGACCTTCCACAGTCAAATTGTGGAAGATTTCATTTATTTTTTCTTTAATGTGGATAGCAGATCTGAAAAGTAGTATAGTATTTATTCTGAAAAGAGAGGTCTTTGCTCAACTTTTATGAAATACAGTACAGGAGTCATTTATATTAACACTTGATTAATCTCCTGTTATAGTACATACATAGAAAGTTGTTAAGAACAAAATGAAATAAATCTTGAAAAAGAAATTATGCAAAATATATGAAAGAATAATTCTTGCAAAGGAAATTATTACTATTACAAAAAAGAGCAAAAATATGTTCTTCAGATCCAGTTGATGTTTGTAAAAAATAATTTGCCATTTAGTAGAGAGAAATATTTTCTGCCGAGCAAGGACAAAATCATGTTTAAAGCAATGATAGTTATGCTTTAGCATATTTTTTCCAGACAAAAAATCAATTGTAATTATTTCACTTCACTTCAAAGGAAAACATATTTTAATTTGTAGGAACATCATATGTATATTCAAAATTATTTATATTAAAGCCAAATACAATTTACTTCAAAAGGTTCCAGTATTGGGCACCCCACCCTTTCTAATAAATTTGAAGTAGATTCCCAGAAAAAAATATAATTTTTTGCTTAGTAAAGATAATAATACAATACAGCATTTTAAACTCTTGAGCAAATCATTCTAAACTTTTTTTTAAAAGGGATCAGTGGCTACAGACAATCGTAAGTGTAAGACAGTAAGGAAAGCAGGGGAATCTCAATCTTTTAAGCTCTGACAGCCTTCAGAGCATTTTATCACATGCATTACCATCTGGCCCTACTGGGCTTACCTGAACAGGCAGAGGGGATCATCCTAATTCATGTGACAAAAAAGTGTAAATGCCAATTATCTTCCCGTATAGACTACAACGTGAGTTCTTTTTACCATAATTCCAATCTGACCTCCAGCTATGGACAAATGTCCATGCTTGACTAATAAACTCCAGGAACATATCTCAGGAATCTTTTCCTTCTGGGCTTTGGCATAAATTTCGTTGAAATAGGTTGCCCTCATATTTTCAAGATATAAGTAGACTGCTCTTTCTTGTTGTTCCGACTTTTATATAACAAGGTTATAGATAACAGTCTGGAATACCTTGTACAGTATGACCCTCCTGTTACAACTCTCATGATCTCTGACCACTGATCATGCTAGCATGGCTGATAGGAAGAATATGAAATACACAACTAACCAATAGATCAAAATATTTAAAACAAAACAGACTAAAGGACAAAAAAGGGCTCATAACCACTAAAGACTGGGAGAACAACCAGATCTTCAATAGTTTCCTAAATCAGGGCTTTCCAACCTTTTCACTCATTGTACCACTTTTAGGCTATGGCAACATCCGAGTACCACCAGTCGCCTAGCAAGGTGTCAAAAACTTGATCAAAAAAAAAAGAAAAAAAGTGATAAAGTTACAGGTAGTCCTCGACTTACAACAGTTCCCTTAGTGACTGTTCGAAGTTACAATGGCACTGAAAAAAGTGCCCCCCCCCCAAGCCACAGCCAAGCAAGACACCTGCCTGCCCACCTGGTGACGCTCTTCCTCCTGTCCGAGGTTTTCATTGTTGTAAGCATTTCTGCTGAGGATTTGCAGCGGGGTGGGTGGGGTGGGGGGTGTTTGGTTTTTATTCCCCCCATCTGCTGGGTGGTTGCAGCAGGTTTTGATAACCTCACATGACCCTGGGACACTATGACTGTCATAAATATGAATCAGTTGCCAAGCATCTGACTGTAAAGCACAAAACCCTGGAGAGGCTGCAACATTCCAGCTGATCGGCAGTTCTTCTGGGCTCAGCAGAAGCACCAGGATCAGTGCCGAGCTCCAGCTGAAGCTGGCGCTGATCCTGGCGCTTCCACTGAGCCCTGACAGCCCTGCAGCTCCAGCCGTCTCTCGCTCAGGCTTGTGCGGTACTGCCACTGGTTCAGCTCATTCCCCTCCCCTGCTATCACTTTTCTAGGATGGTCGCGTACCACCTGCCAGGTGCCAATGTACCACAGGTGGTACCTGTACCACTGGTTGAAAAGCCCTGTCCTAAATGATGTAAGGATGGGCACCACACAAATTTCTAGGCAGAAATCATTTCAGAAAGCAGTAATTAGAACAAAGTAGGTGCACTTCCTGGGTCCCATATGATTACATTCTTTAGTGAATGGGATCTGGAGAAGGCCCACTCTAAGGTAATTGGCAACAGATTATAAACCTCTTAAGACTGTCTTTGCATGGTGTGGGAATAAGAGTGGAATTGTTACAGCCAAGAGTGACTAAAACCTATCTCAGAGATAAGAGCAAAGACAAAACAGAAGGAAGAAGGTACCTGGATAGGTGTATGAAAGTGGGTAAAGCCCACAAATTATTTTTGTTTTAATGATTTTTTAAAATAAGTTCCAGTGCCTAGTTCATTGTCATTGTAACTATCAGTAAAAACTGTAACTCCCAATAAAAACAACAACAACAACAACAACAACATAATAATAAATGTGATGTATGATCCTAGCCAGTCACTATAACCCAAAGTAAAATGGACATATGTACCACCATTTAGTGGTAACATCAATGTTCAGGAACCAGCAGAAGAACATTTAATCTGCCTGAAAAGAAAACTATCTAATTAAATAGCTGTTTTTCAACAAAAAGTGTGAAATATATGAATCAAAACTCATCAAGAAATGTTATTTTATTACTGCAGTTCATCTCAAGACATAGGTATCTTCTCAGGCTGTAAAGTGCAAAAGTACACAGCAAAACTGGAACATCTGCCCTTAGCAATTAGTGTTTGTCTTTCAAACACTGTAATTGTAACATATTGTGCTTTTTACATATAGCTAAGCTGTTTACAATTCCTCCCCAGTTCCCATAAACATAGCTATACATATCAGTCAGTTGCCCCAAAGATGCTTTTTTCAAAAGGCCATTGGACTTCCTTGCTTTTGCTTGAAGATGTTTTGCTTCTCATCTAAGAAGCTTCTTCAGTTTTGCGAAACGTCTTCAAGCAAAAACAAAGTCCAGTTGCCTTTTGAAAAAGCACCTTTGGGACAGTCATGACCTGGATGACTGAGAATCTCCATAGACATACCAGTCAGTTGAGAACAAGATCATGTCTCTGATGAAGTCAAAGGCATAAATCTGATCTGTTTTATGGATCCAAGAATCTCTTCTTTAGGTACTTCTATTTTTTTGGGGGGGGGGGTTCTCTTTCACATCTCAGCAGCTATTTTATACTTTTGGTTGAGAAGGGGAATCGTTATTTGCTTCTCAATAGCTGCTTCTGTTGCTGATATGAAAGAATAAGGCTCAATTTGGAGCAAATAAAAAACATTGATTTCTTATTTGCTGTCTGTTTGGGAGGAGTTATCTTTTAGTAACCATGGGTATCCATCAGACTGGGGTTGGAACATTGGCACTTCATTTCACTGCACAGGCAAAGGGGCAGCAACTCCAGGGATTTTGCTGAAAGCTGCAGTACAAAGTGAGACCAAGTGAGACCAAGGGAGGAAAGAAGGAAAGGACAGGACAGAAAAAGCTGCAGGAGCACACATCAGATCAAGCAGGACCAAGGAAAGCAGGAACCTATTTCTGATGCCTTAGAAGGGAATTCACATCTTGTGTCAAGAGGTGCTCCAAATGTTCTGTAATAGCAGCTTGGGGACCAGTTGCAGTGCTGCCTGCAACATGGGTTTGACCAACAGCAGCAGTCTAGCTGTGTGTCAAGAACAGGATATTGAAATCTGGGCCCTTCCACCCTGCAACAAGTATCTCTGCCCACTGCTGCCCATATGCATTCTCATCCCAGTGACAGCTGTTTGCTTGCTCTTGCTGGTGCTGGGTGTAGGGGGCAATGTCTTGACTGTGATTGTGACAAGCTGCTCCCAAGAGCTACACAACACTACCAGTCTATATCTGGGCAGTTTGGCTGTCTCTGATCTGTTGATGCTCCTCCTGGGTCTACCCTTGGATCTGTACCGTGTGTGGCGCTCCCAGCCATGGGTGCTGGGAACTGTGCTGTGTCGAGTGTGGCACTGGTCAACTGAGGCATGTGCCTACTGTTCCATCCTGCATCTGACAGCCCTGACAGCTGAGCGCTATCTGGCCATTTGCTTCCCGCTGCGGGCTAAAGTCCTAGTGACCCAACAGCGGGTAAAAGCCCTTCTGGTAGTGCTCTGGGTTGTGGCACTGCTCTCTGCTGCACCTTACCTGTTCCTTGTGGGAGTCCAACAGGCTGGCAACCTTTCCAGTGATGATGATTTCAGCCGTGAATGTGGCCCTACTTTGCATGCCCAACAGACAGGGCTGTTAGAGACTATGCTCTGGATCACCACCAGCTACTTCATCCTTCCCTTCTTCTGTCTCTACATTCTCCATGGCTTGATTGCTAGAGAGCTTCTGCGTGTTGGCAAAGCACATCTTGGTTTGGCTTCATACAGGAACCATCAGCAAACAGTGCGCATGTTGGGTAAGTAAGTGGAGGATATCTTAAAATGGGGGAGGAAACATTATCTTAGTGCTCCAATGTCTTGTCCATCCCTTATCTTTATCAAAGAAACTCCTCCAGCCTCAATATTCAGAATTAGGAAACCTTTGGATTCATAACAAATTTCTATTGTTAGGGACTCTGTAGCAGGTTGACAATCTAAAACCTTTCCAAACCACTTATCATCCAGAACTGATGGAAACCCAAAAATCCTGGTATATAATAAACAACTATGGGGATGCTGTGTGGAGTCCAAAAATACCGAATGAAGATGATCTAGTTCCAAGTATTATCCAGGGTTATCCTACAGAATGTCTAGCTAATCCTTCTGGCATCTAATGAATGTAAACAAGTAATCAGGGTTGCATAGCCTGGAGAGCTGCATGGGACTCCAGCCCCAGAGATTTTTTTTGTAAATAAGGATCAACCCCTATCCTGAAGAAAATTTTGTTGCTCAGACCCTCAAATGCAGACTTCCGTGGGGATGTAATACTTCCTCAGAATCTCAGAACACATAAAGCTTTGGGCTCATGGGAATATTTCAGTTTTCAAAGTATGGGAGGTCCCAGAGCCAATTCTGTTGAACGAGAGAGAACTCATACCTTTGTCATTATCTATACATATTGAAGTTGAGCATGGGGATCAAGCAAATATCCAGGTGATACTTCTAGTCTCATAAACTATAGCATGTGGCCAAAATCATTCTCATTGTTCTTCAGTACCATTCTTCTCTAGAAAGCTCTAGATTCAGTCCCCCAGTCAGTCTCTGAGTTCTGTATGTTTCATGGTTATATTTCCACATAATAGATTTTCCTGCTCCTACTCTGTAGCTCTATCTGGAAATGTGATTTATGTCCAATTGTTTATATACCCAGTAGTCAGTACAAAGTAGCCAGCAACTTTAAGTCTTTTAGTTTATTTATTTATTCATTTGATTTATATGACCGTCCATCTCACTCAAATGACTCTGGAAGCATACAAGAATTAATCTCACCCCCCAGACACATCATATAATCCCTGGCATCTTAAGATAAACAATAACCCCACTCATGCAGAAAAAGCACACCAAGAGTAGAACTGATCTAACCTTCTGATTCAAATACTTGGGGAAACAGCCAGGTTTTCAATGCCCTACAAAAGGCTAACAGGGTTAGGGCTATCCAAATTTTCCATGGGATTCTGTTCCATAGGGCAGACATTGCCACCAAGAGCATATTCTCTCTGCTAGATCTAGTGGCTGAGCAGAAATCACGGGAGAAAGGTGGTCCCACAAGTAATCTGGCCCTATGCTGTGGAAGGTTGTATAGGAAATGACTAGTATCTCTCTCTCACACACACACACACGCACACATACACACACACACATCTTAACTGCCATTCTTCATCTAGATAGTAAAGACTGTGGTATATTATCCCAAATTGGTTTCCTAGACTTAGCCTGGCGAGAGGCATAGAGTCTTTTATTTTATATGTTGGAAGACCTCTAGGAATCAATGGTATGTTTACCTTATTCCACTCTTTGACTGTTTGTTGTTATCACCCGAGATCAGGAGGGGCAATGTTAGAAAGAACATGGAGCCATGAGAGCAGTGTGGATTTAAGGGTTCCAGATTTTATTCTCACTGTGGGTATAATGATATGCTCATATATTCTCATCACATGGGTGTAATGAGAAATGCCAAAATCTGCATGTGGCACATGCATTTTCTAAATGTTCTTCAAGACGACCCCTATGTACAGTACATTACATTACAGTGATCCAAATAGTGATCCTAAAGCAAGCCTTCTTGGTCCAATAATGGGCACAATTCATAACTGCACCAGGTCAACAGCCCATCTTATTTCCTTCTTTTCTTTCTTTCTACTTGCAGTTATCCTGGTTCTGGCATTCCTCATTTGCTGGCTGCCCTTTCATGTTGGCCGGATCATATATATCAACTCAAACAACACCAGGATGATGCTTTTCTCTCAGTACTTTAATGCTTTTGCATTGCAGCTTTTCTACTTGAGTGCTACAATCAACCCAATCCTTTACAATCTTGTCTCAAAGAAATACAGGGCAGCATTGTACAAGTTGCTGGTAACCAAAAAGCGACCAGAACGGGCTTCAACTATTACTAGAGAGACAGCTGGCTACCTAGAGATTACTGGATAATTTAAAAATGAAATGATTCCCAGGACCCTTTCTCCCATTGCTTTCACTGATTGCTTTTTGGCAGATGTGTGAAATGAAGGGCAGATCATAGTTAATGCTTCCAGGCATAGCTCTTTGAATTGTAAGACCGGGCTGGTGCTGGTGAAACCAAAACTATCACTAGGGCTATTTGGACAAGCAGAGAAAGATGCTCCCTCCTTCCGTGTATAGTATAATTACCGCCTGGTCTTTCCAGCAAACTAATGCTTGTAAACCAGTAATAGAAGCCACAAACTGATTTTGATTGGCAGGCAAGGACTTTCCTACAGTTTGCCAGCTCTGCAAAAATGGGTTAGGGTTAGGGTTAGGCAGTTCGAGTTTGGCCACCGGTGATGAAGGCAGGCTTGACCATTTAAAAGCTCTTGTCAGCTTAGCAACACTATGAGATAGCCCATCATTTGACATTTTAGATACAAAAGATCCAATTTTCAATTCTCTAATACAGTTCTAGCAAATTTTAAAAGATTCACCTGCAGCCTCTTGAGGGTTGCTGTACTGCAGCTGGGACTGGAGACCTACTGTATGAGCTGGACAAAAAGCCTGATTATAAGAATAGCAGCCTATATTTTTGATTAGCCTATACTATGCTTATAAATTTCCTATTAGACTAGGCAGTAATGCTTTCGGTCAGCATCTTTGTAGCTGGGTTTTCAATTTGCCACAGTTCAAAAGACAAGATCTAGTTAGCTGGATCAGATAGACTAACAAAAACGATGAAATAAATGTGGAATGGAAGGTAAGGATTATGATTAAATCAGACTATATGTTCATTTATTTTAGCTCTCCATGTGCTTCCCTCACATTGATACCAATCAGCTGATACAATTTTAATTGTAATTCTGTCTGACTAGGGGAACTATGAGAAAACCTGGAGGTTTTATGATAATAATTATGAGATGTTTGATTCTCATCTAGACAAAAATAGTAAAACTATATCCTACCCTGATGCAATTAAGGTCACAGTTGTAGGGCCCTGACACAAGAAGGTTAAAACAAGTTGAGTTCACCCAACTCTATAAAAATAAATTACATCTATAATTTCCTTTCAACAAAAAGTGAGTATTTCATAAATTATAGGGTATGAGAAGTTTCTGTTCCCTTTAGCAGAGGTATCAGTGTGTCTCTCCAGTGGAAGGCTGATGGCTTCAAGAGTACAATACGTCAGAGGTCCCCAACCTTTTGGGCACCAGGGATCAGTTCCATGGAGAGAGATTTTTCCGTGGACTGGAGGGGGCGTGGTTTTGTGTGCTGCCTGCAACCCGCGGATGGGGCTTTCCTTGTTTGTACGTACTGGTTGCTGGCATGCTGCAGCCCGGTACTGGTCCATGGACTGTGGGTTGGGGACCCCTGCAATACAGTTTAAGGGCTACATTGTGAAGTTCACAGAAGATAAGAAGCTGAAATGACAGGTAGATCCTGAAGAAAAGGTGAATGAAGTCTGGTTCTATTTCTTTTGGTACTTTCTTTGCCTGAGATCCCATTCTCTCTAAGGATCTGTTTATTTCTCTTTATCTTCCTCCTACAGCAGCAGCCAGGGGAGAGTCTGATGGACCTTAGCAAAGTTTTGAGCTGCTTATTTCAAAGGGCTTCTTTGGATTAGGACAAAGCTTGTGTAAGTTTTTTGCTGGTTGCCAACTTTTCCAGATAAGGAAGATAGATAGATAGATAGATAGATAGATAGATAGATAGATAGATAGATAGATAGATAATTAAAATGTGAATCCCAGGCATATTTGTGTAATGTATATAAAATCCTTGAACTCTGGGATAAGTATAAAACAGCTGTTTATTGTTGACAGCAGTAAAAACAATAAAAGCAACTATTTATAAAACAAATAAAATCGACTGTCAGTTCTGGGGGTCCCTCTCCTCCTTTTTCTATCTTCCCAACCCACCTTTGGAATACACAGCCTAGAATGGGCAGGGGAGGGGGAGGATTGGAGGATGGATGGGCAGCAATATCACATGGCTGGGTGCAGGAAAGATGGGCGGGGAAGATAGAAAAAGGAGGAGAGGGACCCCCAGAACTGACACACATGCCAGGGGATGAGACACAGTGAGGGGCGGTAGGACTGACCGGAGTGGGTAAAACAGAACGGGCAAGGAAAAGAATGATGGGAAGAAAGAGGGCGTTGGGACCAAAATGTGGACAAGGAGATGCAGGACAACTAGAACAACTATGGTTAGTTAGAATAGGTGGGCCCATTACACGATCAATGGGTAGAGCATGGAGCCAATTAGATTTATAAGCAAACTCCCCACCCCTAATGCTTATTCTGATGACGCTGACAGTGGATCAGCGAAAGCTAAGTCAGTTGATTTTATTTGTTTTATAAATAGTTGCTTTTATTGTTTTTACTGCTGTCAACAATAAACAGCTGTTTTATACTTATCCCAGAGTTCGAGGAGTTTATACTATTACACACACACACACAAACACACACACACACATATATAAAATTGTTTTCATCTCAGAGAATAAGAAATAAAAGATAAAACAGGATGACCTCATCTAAAACCTGTCTGCAGAAATTAGATAACCATTACAAGACAGTAAACTCATGGCACCCCTTGGATTTTTGCAACCCAGCTATACAGGTTGTCCTCGAACTATGATTGAAATTGTGACCAGAATTTCAGTCCTAAGTCATTAGAGTTGTAAGTTGAGATGCCCACATTAGCAGACTTGATTTTATGACCATTTTAACAGCAATCATTGTGAATCGTGCAGCTGTAAGTATGAACCCATTCTCCTGAATAAGCATTTTTGCCGGAAACCAGCAAAAATTTTTTGCAAATCACTGTCAGGTGACTGCAGGATGCTGCTGTAAGTCATAAATGTGAGCCAGTTGAAATACCATCATGTGACTATGGGGAAGGTGGCGTAATAATTTACAACTACTCTTCTGAGGATGTTATAATATTGAACGGTCATTAAACTTCTGGTTGCAAGTTGGGGATTGCCTGTAGTAGCTCTAAATCAAGGGGGAAAAGGTTGAACACGCCAGATTGGAGGTTTTTTTTAAAAAAATTCCCTTTGTTGAGAGTTTAATTGCAGGTGGAAATTCATGCATGTCATACTACAAAATGTGCTGGCAATTCTTGGTTTAAATGGCATTGTTAAAAGTTTTTCATCAGTTCTGATCTCAAAATAATAAATGTTTGAGAGTAAACATAAAACAATTTGGTAATTTCCGAAAGAGTACATCACACATTGAAAAAAGAACAAACATGTCATGATTCTTTCATGTGAGGTATCATATCTCTAAATAAAACTGTCTACTGGCATTATTAAATAAAAACCATAATCTAATTGCTCCTTTATTTTCCAAATGGGTCACTGCTATTTTTAACCATTACATAAAGATAAAATAAAAGCTAAAAGCTAATTCTTGTTTCAGCTAAGCAAATGTCGTGATGACTTAAAGTAGGCTCTCCCCTGCTGCAAAGAAGCATTCAGAATTATTAACATAGGTTATATTTGTATATTATTCCTGAATTTGTAATCAGATTTTAAACTAATTTTATTAAAGTCTTAAAGTGGAATATATGAAATAGCAGTATAAAATGTGCCTATTTGTCTCAACATGCTATAGGCAGCAAATATTTGTGTATTTTCCTTTATATGTTCATTGTTTCAGATCTATACCTGTTCTTTGCATAAATGTAAGCTTGACCTACAGAAAATAAACAAGGTATTCAAAACCCAATAGAAAATCTAAACATCAGGTGTTTTTTAAATTGCTATTGATCATTTCTCTTTGTGGGATCTTTGTAATTTCTATACCTCAACCTGTCACAGCAAATGAATTTGGAATGGGACATGCTATTTGCCCTAAGGAAGGTGTGCTTTATGTTTTCTTTAAATAGACTTATCTAGACAGCTAACAGCCGGTGTTATCTGGCTGCTTTGCTAAAAAAAATCAAATCTATTGCTTCTGTGTACATTTCAACAAGTTGCTTAATACAACAAATATTTCACTTTGTATTTCAAGGCTTGTCCAGTTTCCTGCCAGCTGCTCTGCTATTGTAATTGGTCAAAATACTTGAAGAGATTAAAACTCACAAGCTATTTGTCATTTCCTTGACCAATTTGCTTATTGCTCCTGTCCAAAATGTAATAATTATTTAAGTTGTATTATTTCCATGGTCATAACTAAAAGAAAAATCTCCAGAAAGAAAAAAAAAATCTGGTATAGATATTTTAAAGCTAGTGTAAATAAAATGTCACATCTTCTACAGTGAAAAGAATCCTATTGTCTCCGTTCCGATTTTCTATCAAATTATGGAGTCCTGATTGTTGGTGTGGAGGGCTCCTTAACCAAAATGATTGGCCAAATTCCCCCACTTTGCTGCTCTTCCTCCCTCTGGATGTCATTAATTGATGGGAAACCCTCTGTCCAACTTCAGCTTCAGTTTTGCTGTACCATCACCTAATGGTAATTTCCATATTGCTGCTGAAACCTTTCCTTATTACATGAACCACAAGAATATTTTATTAGAGGTAGGACAATTGGATTGTTATTAATTCATAATTTGAGGGTGGGACTTGTGATTGACTCAAATATTATGGGCGGCCAAAACAAACATGGATTAAATGATGTTCTCTGCAAGAACTAGAAGCATAAACATCAATATTTATAAATGTATAATACATTCATTTTTGTACCTTCGAGTCGATCCTAACTCCTGGCGACTACCTGAACAAGTCCCTGCACCTTTCTTGGCAACATTTTGGAAGGAGTTTGTTATTGCTCATTCTGAGAGGGGGATAACCAAATCACTCACTTGTGTGCACTGCTGGTGTGAAATCGGTGTGTGTGATTGGGTCAGTCAGAGAATGGCCATATGTTTCAGTTCTCCCCGTGAAAGAGCATACTGTCATTTTTGTTTGAAAAAGAGTAGAGGAGGGGAAAAAAAGCCTACAATGACACAATTGGTGTTTGTGCCATGCTGAAACAATTGAGGGAGTTCTTAGCTAGATCCATTCCTTTCTATCTTTTTTTACTGGGGGGAAGGGGGAGAGAGATTAAGGAGGCAGCTCTAAAGAAGTCCTGTTTCCACACAGCCTCTGCCTGTTTTTTCTGTGCTGAAAGCAGGAAGGGGAGATTATCCCTGGCGTAAAAAATCTGCAAGGTGGAATTAGTTTAATGTTGTGCAAACAGAGGCAAAACATAGGGTTGTGCCTATATGAGTTGTCATTTACGTTTTCCCCAAAGATACATTTGCCTTCAATAATTACAATTTCTCTGCTCACATTTCATGATTTATAACTATGCATAGCATATTACGCTCAAAGAAACAGCTTCCAAGTCTATAATACATAATTTATGAACTGGCCCAGGTATAAGGGGGTGCAAACATTTACATGCCTATCATCTTTCAAAGATATCCATCATCTCTCCTACATTTTAGTAAATAATCAGTTGTATTCAGATTCCTGAGTTCTGTGAAAAGGTTCCCAGTACATTTCCCAGCACAGACTGGGCAGTTTTCAGGCCTGTACATAAAGATACACGCACACACATTTTGCCAATAGCTACTTTGTGTAAGCAAACTATCAAGAAATATGCAGCAACATGAAGGTTATGGAGAAGAGAGGGGAGGAGAGGAGAGGAGAGGGGAGGGGGGGAGGGATGGGAGGGGAGAAGAGAAGAGTGTGATCTGGTAGTAAGCCTAGAAACCAGGAAACTGTGAGTTCTAGTTCTGCCTTAGGAATGAAAACTGTCTGGCTGACCTTGGCCTAGTCACTCTCTCACCCCAACACATCTCACAAGGTTGTTATTGTGAGGAAAATAGGAGGAGGAAATATTATATATGTTTTCTGCCTTGAGTTACTTCTAAAGTAATAAAGGTGGGATAAAAATCTAATTAATAAAATAAAATATAAAACAAAATAAAAACATTCAAATGCTGTGATGTGTTTGTAATTACAAAGATCAGAATGACATAAGTCATGGTATTCCCTGTGACACTCAATGGAAGCGAAAGTTGGACTTTGAAGAAGCAGGAAAATTATTGATGCATCTGAACTAGGTGCTGGAGAAGACTCCTGAGAACACTGTGGACAACCAAGAAAACACTCTGAGTCTAAGGGATCATCAACAAATAACTCAGAATTTTCATTCAAGGTGCAAATGACCAGATAAGCAGACTGAAATTATCCTACTTGGACACATTATGCAAAGACCCAGTTCTCTGGGAAAAGGCTTTAATGTTGGGAAAGATTGAAGGAAAGAGAAGAAGAGGTCATTTATAGTGGCGACGAGTGTACCATTGGGAGATTTGAAAGAACAGCTTGGGGACAGATCATCATGGAGAAAATAAGTCTATGTGATTGCTAAGAATCGAAAATGAATTGATGGCACATAATCATCAGCACTTTGTGTAGATAATGAGCAGGATCTGCATAGTATTTCATTTTTGTCTCAACTTGATATTTCCTATCCTTTGCCCCAGCCAGGGCACATATCTAAATGATGTCAAAAAAGATATTGTTTGGGAATATGCAGGGGTGTGAGCACAGCACCACTTTAAAACCACCATGCCTTTTGTAAAGTCTTCTGTGAAAAGGCTGAGAAAAGTTGTGGCTCAGTTGACTTGTTAATGCAGCCCTGTTTAATGTGACTAACTGCTTTTTTTGGAGTTCCCTGGTATTTCTGCTAAAAAACTAAAACTACAAAAATGTCCATCCAATCTCCTCTTGGTTTCATTC